TCAAATCTTCCGCAAGGAGGCAAGGTGCTCGTCCAAAGCGGGCATTCCCTTGTCGGAGAACACACCGGGAAGGACAGAGGGTTGGAACCCATAAGCAACCATAAAAGGACTTAAGCCAGTGGATGAATGAGTATGATGTATTCCTGGCGAATTCAGCCCAGGGAAGGAGATGAGACCAGTTGTCCTGGTGTGCATTAGTGAAGCAGCGTAAATATAACTCCACAGATTGATTTGCCCGTTCAGCAGCTCCATTAGATTGTGGATGATAGGAGGAAGTAAATGACAAGGAGATCCCCATCTCAGCACAAAAGCCCCTCCAAAACCGAGAGACAAATTGAGGACCCCTGTCGGATACGATATCCTGAGGTATACCATGCAAGCGGAACACCTCTTTGGCAAATACCCGAGCCAACTGAACCGCAGAAGGTAGTTTTTTATGTGTTACACCCGGTAAACCAGGTTTTACGGTAGCTAATTTGTCTTGAGAAAGTCCCGTGGGAGGGATGAAACGCGTAGACTCGCTACACCTGATTGCTTGATCCTTTGATCTGTTGTTGCTGGGAGTGCTTTATGAACTATTGAGAGTGAGAGCATTTTGGAGATTGCAGATACTTCACGATCCCTGTCGGGGGTTTGTAATTTTACACAGCGGGCTTTTTTGAAGATCCCGACCGTGGTGCAACAGTCAATTCCCCCGGGGGTCTGCTATCCGCAATTGTTCACTGCTCTTTCTATTGATCCTATCCTTTCAAGGTTTCTATCATCATTTTTTATTTATACCTTGTGGGGGCCGAGGCAAGGTACTTTTTGTATTCATTTATATGTTTGTTTTTTATTTTTAGTTACATTGTAGGCATTTGGACCCGTAGACACTTTGTTTTATACATTGTGTCTATGGTGGTTTTATTTACCTATTTTTGTATCTATATTTGCAGGGCTGTGTGGCGAAACCAACCTCGCCACTGTGAACTGGAGAAGCCTGGTTGCTCGCCTACTCCCTTTGGACTATGGCCCTGCAGGTTAAACCGTTTATTTCCCCTGCAGAAAGGCTTATTTGTGTGATCTGAGTGCCATTCAACTAATAATGTGCGCTCAGATCCCAGCTATCTGGGGATATGTGAAATGTCTGTGTGTTATGTGTAAAGGGTGACTTTATGTATTTTAAAGTGTTTTGTGTCTTTTTGCAACCATGTGCTTAATGGAGTCTTGTGTCTGTCCTGGGAGATAATTGAATTACTCTCCAGGATAGAAGACTCTGAAGCTGGTTTGGGCCAGAAAGCCATGCTTCATTTAGTCACAAAGGACTTTCCCTTAACTTTTGAACCCCTGGTCTGATTCGTGCCATTTTTTAATATGTTGTTCCCCTGAATGGATTGATTATGAAAATTTATGTTTTATGTTTGTGACATGTATATTTTCGAAGTTATAAATATTGTGTAAAAACTGTATTCCTCTGCCGGTGATAATGAGATTACCCATTGTGTTCAGTAATCATATCACCTGCAGAGGGGAGGATTTTGTGTGGGAGTGTCTGGGTGTATTGTACGGATTGATTGGTTGTTTTGTAACGCCTTGTGGGCTGTACTATGTTTGTGGATTGGGAATAAAAGAGACTGTATGTGACAGTACAAGGAGATTCTGCTTGACCCTCAAACCGATGTGTCGTCTCGTTTTTGGGGGGAATTGGATTGTATGCTGACTGCCAGGAGTGTAAGCGGATTGTATGCTTTTCTTGTTCGGCTGATTCCAGTGTTCGTGTGTTTCCAGTTCGGGAGTTGGTGAATTCGTACAGTTTGCAGTTCGGGAGTTTGGTGCTTGCAGTAGCTGCTGGTCTATGGGAAAGGGGATTATCGCCTAAACGGTTTTTATCCTCTTGTGAGAGAAACGGTACGTTACAATTGGTGGCAAGCGGCGGGATCATTCCCACAGCCCAGAAGGACAGCTACAAGACAACATCAATTCCTCGATTACAAATTGAGGGCAACGCTAGTACCGTACAGCGACCCTATCTACAAAGGAACCAACTTCGGCAGAGCAAACATGGCGCCCAGCTACACTCAGGAGGAGTTTGACAGAGAGTTTAAATCACGGCTGGCTCTCTATGGATCCTACACCCCCTCGGAGGAGTCCGTGCAGCGCGTGAGGAGACATGTAGCAGAGTACCTGCAGGTCGTGGCAGATTGCGCCAAAGGTATCGTCCGCCCTCCCCGGCGGCAGTGTGTACCCCAGGGAGCTGAAGGTGCCGTCCTTCCTCCCCAGTGGCATTGTGTATCTCAGGGAGCTGAAGGTGTCGTCCTTCCTCCCCAGCGGCAGTGTGTACCCAAGGGAGCTGAAGGTGTCGTCCTTCCTCCCCAGCGGCAGTGTGTATCCCAGGGAGCTGAAGGTGTCGTCCTTCCTCCCCAGCGGCAGTGGGTACCCCAGGGAGCTGAAGGTGCAATCCTTCCTCCCCAGCGGCAGTGTGTAACCCAGGGAGCTGAAGGTGCCGTCCTTCCTCCCCAGCGGCAGTGTGTACCCCAGGGAGCTGAAGGTGCCGTCCTTCCTCCCCAGCGGCAGTGTGCATCCCAGGGAGCTGAAGGTGCATTCCTTCCTCCCCAGCGGCAGAGTAAGTCCCAGGGAGCTGGAGGTGCAGTCCTTCCTCCCCAGCGGCAGTGGGTATCCCAGGGAGCTGAAGGTGCAGTCCTTCCTCCCCAGCAGCAGTGTGTACCCCAGGGAGCTGAAGGTGCCGTCCTTCCTCCCCAGCGGCAGTGTGTATCCCAGGGAGCTGAAGGTGCAGTCCTTCCTCCCCAGCGGCAGTGTGTATCCCAGGGAGCTGAAGGTGCAGTCCTTCCTCCCCAGCGGCAGTGTGTATCCCAGGGAGCTGAAGGTGCATTCCTTCCTCCCCAGCGGCAGTGTGTACCCCAGGGAGCTGAAGGTGTCGTCCTTCCTCCCCAGCGGCAGTGTGTACCCCAGGGAGCCGAAGGTGCAGTCCTTCCTCCCCAGCGGCAGTGTGTACCCCAGGGAGCTGAAGGTGCCGTCCTTCCTCCCCAGCGGCAGAGGGTCCTGCAGGGAGCAGAGACCGTCAATCTCGCACCCCAACAACAGGACAAAATAATGAAAGGGGAGACAGCTGGTCCCCCTCTCCACCAGCAGAGAGAGTGTCAGGGAGAGGAGCCTGATACCCCCTCTCCCCAGCGGCAGTTTACAGTTCAGAGAGAGGAGCTTGTTACACCCTCTCTCCAGCGGCAGCCTAACCCAGCAAGGGGAGATGTTACACCCCCAACAGTGCAGATGGGACTGTAGTCTCTGCACTTACAGCACAAGGGGTAGGGACAGTCGGTCCTGTTCCCCAGCCACAGAGCGGTGTATCCAGAGGGGAGACAGTCGGTCTCTCCCTCCCACAACCAGGCCCCCACCAGGCTACTTCCGTGGTAGCACTGGCATCAGGGCAGAGTACCGCTGGTCTCTGCCCACTCAGCAACCCACCAAGGCAGCCTAACAGTTGCCCACACAGTCATGGTGAGGCACCTGGACATGGACAAAGTTTTCCTCTACCCAGGTGTAGTAACCAGTTATTGTGGGTGGGCTGTACTGCTGTTTCTGTTTTGTGGGTGGGTTGCTGGACTAACCAGGGTACTGACCGGCAGGAGGTCAGATACCCTGTTAGTCTAGTTGGTAAAGGGGAGAAGTGTGGCGAAACCAACCTCGCCACTGTGAACTGGAGAAGCCTGGTTGCTCGCCTGCTCCCTTTGGACTATGGCCCTGCAGGTTAAACCGTTTATTTCCCCTGCAGAAAGGCTTATTTGTGTGATCTGAGTGCCATTCAACTAATAATGTGCGCTCAGATCCCAGCTATCTGGGGATATGTGAAATGTCTGTGTGTTATGTGTAAAAGGTGACTTTATGTATTTTAAAGTGTTTTGTGTCTTTTTGCAACCATGTGCTTAATGGAGTCTTGTGTCTGTCCTGGGAGATAATTGAATTACTTATCTCCAGGATAGAAGACTCTGAAACTGGTTTGGGCCAGAAAGCCATGCTTCATTTAGTCACAAAGGACTTTCCCTTAACTTTTGAACCCCTGGTCTGATTCGTGCCATTTTTTAATATGTTGTTCCCCTGAATGGATTGATTATGAAAATGTATGTTTTATGTTTGTGACATGTATATTTTAGAAGTTATAAATATTGTGTAAAAACTGTATTCCTCTGCCGGTGATAATGAGATTACCCATTGTGTTCAGTAATCATATCACCTGCAGAGGGGAGGATTTTGTATGGGAGTGTCTGGGTGTATTGTATGGATTGATTGGTTGTTTTGTAACGCCCTGTGGGCTGTACTATGTTTGTGGATTGGGAATAAAAGAGACTGTATGTGACAGTACAGGAGATTCTGCTTGACCCTCAAACCGATGTGTCGTCTCGTTTTTGGGGGGAATTGGATTGTATGCTGACTGCCAGGAGTGTAAGCGGATTGTATGCTTTTCTTGTTCGGCTGATTCCAGTGTTCGTGTGTTTCCAGTTCGGGAGTTGGTGAATTCGTACAGTTTGCAGTTCAGGAGTTTGGTGCTTGCAGTAGCTGTTGGTCTATGGGAAAGGGGATTATCGCCTAAACGTTTTTTATCCTCTTGTGAGAGAAACGGTCCGTTACAATTGGTGGCAAGCGGCGGGATCATTCCCACAGCCCAGAAGGACAGCTACAAGACAACATCAATTCCTCGATTACAAATTGAGGGCAATGCTAGTACCCGTACAGCGACCCTATCTACAAAGGAACCAACTTCGGCAGAGCAAACATGGCGCCCAGCTACACTCAGGAGGAGTTTGACAGAGTTTAAATCACGGCTGGCTCTCTATGGATCCTACACCCCCTCAGAGGAGTCCGTGCAGCGCGTGAGGAGACATGTAGCAGAGTACCTGCAGGTCGTGGCAGATTGCGCCAAAGGTATCGTCCGCCCTCCCCGGTGGCAGTGTGTACCCCAGGGAGCTGAAGGTGCCGTCCTTCCTCCCCAGCGGCAGTGTGTATCCTAGGGAGCTGAAGGTGTCGTCCTTCCTCCCCAGTGGCAGTGTGTACCCCAGGGAGCTGAAGGTGTCGTCCTTCCTCCCCAGCGGCAGTGTGTACCCCAGGGAGCTGAAGGTGCCGTCCTTCCTCCCCAGCGGCAGTGTGTACCCCAGGGAGCTGAAGGTGCCGCCCTTCCTCCCCAGCGGCAGTGGGTATCCCAGGGAGCTGAAGGTGCCGTCCTTCCTCCCCAGCGGCAGTGTGTATCCCAGGGAGCTGAAGGTGCCGTCCTTCCTCCCCAGAGGCAGTGTGTACCCCAGGGAGCTGATTATATATGGCAAGACAAGAGACCTAGAGTATCACTGGAAATTTTACAGAGACATTGGAAGGAAGGGGGAATTTCTTTCCCAGATATACAGAAATTATATATGAACAACATGGTAGCACACTTAATTAAATGTGATAGCTTTACAAAGACAAGACCAGTTTGGTTAGATATCGAAAAAATGGATCTTTGTAATACTGAACCTTTATTTCTCTGGTGGTGTGATAGTGAACTTGTAAAAAATGTAAGATCCAATAACCCGATGAATAACACAATGATCTATATTATAAAATACCTAAAGAAAAAATTCGGAACTAAATATATATCAAGAAATGCCCCATTTATATGTCTAAAATATTATATAAAAAATATAAATCTTCAAGAATGGGAAAAATGTGGAATTGTAAAAATTGCGGAACTTTTAAATGATAACAAAATATTGCCATTTGCAATGCTACAGCTCAATTATAACCTCCCTTCGAAGGAAATATTTAATTATTTAAGAATAAAATCCTTTATTATGGGAAATGTTTTTTCGGACACTTCTCCATTCGATCAGTTTGTACCATTTCACTATAAAAAAAAAATTGCATCTAGATTTAATCAATTTACAAGATGCCAAAGGCAAATAGTTAAACCGTTGGCAGTGAATAAATGGGAGCAGGAACTCCACTTTTCATCCTCGGCTGAAGATTGGATTTCGGGCCTACAATTAGTAAAAAGATATATACATGGGGTGAATATACAGGAAGTGTATTTTAAATTGGTGTATCGTTGGTATCTGGTGCCTACCCGACTTCATAGATTTCAACCCACACTTCTACCGGATTGTTGGAGATGTGGTAGGGAGTTAGGTTCATTCTCCCACATCTGGTGGGACTGTGAGGAGTTGAAATCTATGAAAATAATTTTATCGGATTTGGTGGACTCCATTTTGAAGGTTCAAACTGTTATCACGGCTCAAATGTTCTTGTTTCATCTAGATTTGCCAATAGTTAACATAAAAAAAAAAATCCTTATGATTCACTCTTTTATTGCAATAAAAATAGTTATGGCCAGAAATTGGAGAAACATGGGTTCGATGAACTGGTATGACATATGTATACAAATAGATTATCAACGTAGGATGGAAGCTGGATTAGCCTCAAATAAATTATCCAGAGAGAAATTCGAAGAAATTTGGGCCCCCTGGGTTAGATATCTTAGCCGTAAAAACACAACCCCCCTTCTATAGATAGCCACACTTAGGTAGCACCAATGTGAATGGATAGTAAGACAGAGGAATTGTATGTTATTTTCTCTTTTTCTTTTTTTTTGG